CTACAAACATAATCAAAAGCTCCAGTTCATTGATTGGATGTGGAGCCTAGCAGACAGTTGCCTGACACAACTGTATGAGTCAGCAGCCTGTGTTCTGTCAGTCAATGCAGCCACATCCCTAACTTTGAGCCTTAATAAAGTTTTATGGGTGAGTTATTGGACAGTTGCTATAAAGGGGGAAGTTAGCTTTAGTACCAGACTGTAAAAATTCTTATCTGTGCTGCAAAGCAGTTTTTTTTTTTTAAAAACATGGGCATTTATGGGCGCTGTTTTACTTTTGAAGACAAATACAGGTGGCCACATAAGACTTTCTTTTCACTCGTTTCTTGTTTCTGTGGTTCGGGCACTCCTGCAGCAAGAACAGGTCAAAGTTGAGGTTGTGTTTACAATATACATTTAACTCTGGAAGCATAAAGCAGATTTTTAAAGACTACACTCCATCTGATTCCTTTCATAAAGTCAAGTCCAAAGCTAACCCTAAGTTGCCACTTGATTATGACCTTGCTTGGAAGCACAAATGATTGCTAGTAGGTGCCAAAGAAAAGCAAAAGCATCACAGATCAAGGCTGACACAAGTTACCTCCCCCATGCCAACCTAATAGACGAGACTGCCATTCTGGATTTAACTGAAACTTTGAACACATTCAGGTAGCAAATGATTCCAGTCATGACCAAAATTGGTGGAGGTGATCTTCTTTCAGAGCCTCACAGAACTTACTACACCTCCTCTCCTCCATACCTGCTTCACGCCCTGGGGGACGGGGCTATGGCTCCCCACACTCCCTAGCACATCGTTACATGGAGAAACCTTTTGAATACAAGCGTGCTGATCCACACAGGTGTGCACACAGGTGTACACACGGGTGTTCACAGACACAAACTACACCTTTCTTGGCTGCTACCTCAAAGCACATTGCGCGCTGTCGATCTTGCGTGCTGCACAATAACATTTAATTAATAACATTTAAGTATCTACTGTTATTTACTGTTAGCTAGTTTATTATGATGGTGTTGTGTTTATTATGTTGCTCTTTTTTTGTTTGTTTTCTCTTCTGTTTTTTCTTCTCTCAACGGGTGATCCAGGTATTTTTTTTTCTTCCTCCCTTTCTCACTATCTCTTCTCCCCTCTGTTTTTCTTTCTCACCCTCTCTTTCTTTTATTCTTTCTTTCTTTCTCACTGTTCTATCCCACAGTCATGTCTGTCCCATCTGTAACAACAGAAAATAAAATAAAATAAATACATAATAATAATAATAAAGGTCAATCAAATGGACCAATATGGCAAGGCCATGATGAGCCACTTGGTAAAGTAAATCCGCTAGGCATCTTTCTTTGCCTTCAGACAATAAATCTGATGGCTAAAGATCCAAACGCGACAGGCAAAAAACAAACAAACAAACAAACAAAAAAAAAAACAACTTACTATACTGGTTTAAATTTTCAAACAGTTTGTTTGTTGCAGCCAATAGAAATTGGAGCGAAGCAGCCAAACAGAAAGTGAGATGATATCTCAGCTACTGTATTGACACCAAGCTTGATGTTTAGATTTGGTAATTCTTCTTCAGGTCATCAAAAAAACAAAAAAACAAACAAACAAACAACAAAAAAAAACCCATGCTTCGCCATGGGAAGCAGCAATAATTAAAAATGCACTTTTCCTATTGGTGCTTGCAGCCAAGCTTTTATCGTGACCAGATCAAGTTGCCATGGAGACTGTGCCGTGCTGGACTGCTTGATCTGTCATCATCATCATCATCATTATCATAATCATCATCCGTGAAACTTGCAAGTATATTTTAGCATCGGAATTGCATTGCTCTAATTTCTGTTGTGCGTGTGGTTCTTGTTTTGATTTGTGTGTAGTAAGAGTGATGCTGGGAAGCTGCTCATGAATAATATCTATGCTAAATATTTTCACCTTGTACAAGGTACCTTTTGAATTATACGTGGGGTACAATGAGAGTGCTACTGTGGTGGAGAAGCAGGGCTAATTACGGTGTGGTAGAGTAGCACTTAATAAGGGACGCTTACGAGTAACAAGACAAAGAATTCATTTATCATCTACTGTAACTTGTAACTCACAAATTAAACCCCAATGCTTTGGCGGGTAATGATATTTGCCACTCTTTCATCATGCTCTCAATCCCATCCTTTTACAGATGCCATTTTTCTGCACCCCTGTAACACTCTTCATGGCACTGCCAATTGTGTTTGACAGTGAAAATCACATTTGAGATCATAGATCATATGTCAGCCAGCGGGACGGGAGGAGGTAAAGGGATGACAGAACGATTTTTGACTCAGGGCTATACCAAAAGCTTTTATTTCCCACCCATATAGCTTGTCTTGTCATCCAATTTTGGCATGTGAAGGCATGTTGAGGGGGTTGGAAATGATGACTGGTATGTGTAGTCTGTGACTGCTGTGCTCATGGCCCTGTCCCCAGTCTGTGTTTTGGAGCAAAGGCACTGTTTGCTGGACCTCCTGCACAACCGAATAAACCACCCATAAACAAGAAAAGTTAAAAATATCTTGTGAAATAATGCCCTGAAATTCTCCTCTCTGTCACAAAATGAATGTCAGGAGAAAAAAAAAAGGGGAAGGTTGTAGGGAGGCGGAGCAGGAGTCGGTGAGGGTGGGGTGGTGGTGGTGGTGGTGGTGGGGGGGGACACTGCAGTAGAACATGGAACAATAGGCGCCCTCTGGCATCAACCTCTGGACAGCCCAAGCCGCTCAGCAAAGACACTGAACTCACCCACAATGAACTGCTGCAGCGGGAAGGGAGGCTTTAGAGAGTTCAATTTCCAACACAATTGGCTGTATTCTACTCCTTTAAATGCCAAGGAGATGGTGTGCAGCGTGTGCCTTTGTGAGGAGCTTTGCTTACAGCGAGTGTCCTCTAACAGGAGAGACAGAAGGAGAAAGACTAGAGATGGCGAAGACAGGCCAGAATGGGAGATGGTTTGGGGACAGAAATAGTGTGACTGGATAGAAGAAAAGGAAAAACGAATAAGACTGAATGACCGGGAGAGATAGAGAGTAAAAAGGAAAAAAAAAAAAGGAAAAGGTAGAAACGAGAAGGGTAGAGAATGTCTCCTCTGGTTGTCGTTTCGCCAGGCTCGCAGGACCGTCTGAAGGACAATGCTGCTACTAGTGAAGTGTGACGTTTGTCCTCTATCCAATTCACCACAGCCCCAAAGAAAACACTCACAATCAAGTGTCGATCATGCATCTCAAACACAATAAGCTCTTCCAAAAAAAAAACAAAAAACATCACATTATACAGCAATATACAGCACTGACCTTAGGTAAGAAATGTTTAGGGATAAAAACAAAAAAGCTACAGAAATGACATTCAAATGAGGCCATCTGAACCTTTGCTGTTGCGCAGCAGTAAAAGAGCACCTTTAAAAGGTTTTAAGTAGTAAAAATAGCATTTTTCTTTTTACAGTATAACCTCCCAATGTTCAAGTAAATATAGCAAATAAAAATATGACCAGTCACATTAATGGCTCTGGTGAATAACTTCTTAGAGGTTTGTAATATTCTGCGCCATTCATCTGAAAGACCTGTTGTGCTTTTTTTGTTTTTTTTCCCTCAAGATGAAAAAAAGCAAATATCTACCGTGTCAAATTCCCACTGGAACAAATAATCAAAACGCTACTTAGACAAAACAGCAACCGCAGGAAGAACTGCACCTGACGCCTGTCTCCGTGTCACACTCAATATAAATATGCCCGCTGTCATCAGAAAAATTGCCAAGGAGGCTGTTTCTCCATCACTGTCTTCATTTGAAGGGCATTTTGCTGCCCAAAGGCAAACGCCTAACACACTCTCCAAGCATGGCGCCCAGCCCCTTTCACAGAGGGCTGGCGGTGCAGCAGACAGGAGAGAGAAAAGCAAGAAATAAGAGAGAGTGTGAGAAAAGCCTTCGTCTCAAAGCAGACCTCACACTGGGTTCTGTCACTACAGATCAAAATCCCCTCAAAGCCATAGATCACTTCCACTATAGTTCACATGTTTCACACTTAGAAACTGTTTACCAGACTCAAAAGAGTTTGCCTCCACAGCACTCACACACGGATATAGCTTAAAAACCAAAGACAGAGCTCACTCGCAAAACAATAACTGCTTTCGATCCCAGAACACTGCACTTAAACATTTATACACTTTGAGGGGACGACTTCTTCGCTGCAAACAAATATTTACATCTATATGCTCAGCCCAGCTGAGTGAGAGGGTTGTGATGCCAGCTCTGCCTACAAGTGAGCTGACTGGCGTGACAAACACAGCAGTGTCTGCTCCTTTTTCTTGTGGAAATACCTGTCAGCGCCTGTCGACTGCTCACGCACACAATGATACATACAGGCATAAACAGCCAGGGACAGTCTGTCTCCTAAAAAGTTCCTTTAGCGTACCTGTGTGAGGCAGCAATACCAACCATCGCACAGTTTTGAGGATAAGTGACAGGCCTATATACGTGTCTGCCGGTGGTTAAGTCGGGGCCTAAAAGAGTGTCGCTTGGCTTAAATACGCCGACGCCGCATTGTGGTGCAGGGAGGAAACCTGTCTTTGGAAAGTCCTTCTGCTTGAGAGAGAAATGTCCCCCCTCATCTCAGATAAGGAGCTGATGAGATAAAGCGATAAAGTCAGTGCTTCTCCTGGGTCTTATCTGATGCTGTTATCTGACTGCACAGCACCCACCATCTCGCAATCTTTACACCCTTTAAGCACCTCTCTGAAACACTCACACCAGCATCATCGCAGACACACACACACTCTCCATCTAATGCTCAAACATTCTAAACACCGTACCAGCTTATTGATTACTTTGACACGCTCCCATTGTTGAACAGATGGCACACCTAATATCATGTGAAATGGAACTGTTCTGTGTTATCTCATGGGGAAAGGACATAAAATGACTATTTTCTCACCTTTCGGAAAGACAGAGGGGGGAAAAAACACCAGGAAAGGGGGAACAGAAGCTGTGCACTTACCTCTATGTCTGTTAGTAGTCTTATCAAACATAAGCATGGCATCATCAACCTGGAAGACATAAGAGGAGTGCCGACATTAGCTTAATCTTTTCGGCAAGTACCTCGCATCACCTTCTCCCTATTGAATCGCAGCTCGTCTACTCGCAGTAATTGCTCTTAGAATATTTATTTTCGCTCCTTTACACTGATTTCTTCCCCAGCACCCCTCTCCCACATAATAAATCAGAGTTCACGCTGTGTTGTCGGGTTACCACTTCCGTGTCCATCTATAGATTAGAATTTCAGCGATAAAGAAATCCATGCAATCACAGTGGCGTTACGTGTTTTCTGGATTAGATGTGGCAAATATGTGAAGAGCAGCAATGGGAGAAAAATTAACAAAAACTACCAGAAGAAAAAAGAAAGAAAGAAGAAGAAGAAAAACAGTGTTGACAATATGTTTATTTTGATGAACACTGATGTCCAGTCTTGTGGAGAGGGACAGATAGACACATTATACTAAGCGGGTGTGAGACAAATGTGATCCTTCCTCATCTCAGAGCCCCAGCAGCCCCAGCAGCAGCAGCAGCAGCATCCACCATAATATCATCCTTCATCATGTCCAATAAAGCCACACACAGACAGGCAGAATTTTTTTTCACACATCCCCGAAAAACAGATCTCTAGACACACTCTTCTTTCTATAATGCTGATGAAATGCTTAAAAAACAGACTGAGGCATGCTCATTTAGCCTGTGATGTTGTCTAAGAAAAAAAAAAGAAAAGAAAAAAAAGATGGAGGAGTAGAGAGCAGCAGCAGCAGCAGACAGAAACAAAAAGAGGGAGCACTCTGCACCATTCACTCCCTGGTTATGGTCTATAGGTAAGTGTAACTGTACTGAGGAGGCTTAATAGTGTGCAAGTGTGCATCTGTGCTTTTCACGGGAGGGTTACAAAGCTTCGGGAGGAGATGGGAAGAGACAAGAATAGGGGGTCTCACTCAAACCGAACTGTCTGATTGGATAAAGAGAAGTGCCTGGCAGCCAGGCAGACTAGCGCTGGCACGCTGTTCGTGCCACCCTCTTGCCACACATTTGGCACACAAGACGTTGGCACAGCTTGTAGGGCCAAGTTACTCACTGTATGGCTCACAGGCACTTGATTTGCTCCTCCCTAAATTATTTCCAAATTGTCAAATTTAGCAAGCAATACTGATGTGAATCCTCAAGTAACTTATATACATATACACACACCCAGTGCCTGAGCACCTGAATTGCTGTTTGCCAGACTACCTGAAAAGGAAGGCAGGCAGAGCCTGCAGGTAAATGTTGCGGAAAGGTAGGGCTTATTAAATCCTACAGAGTTGCATCACTTCTGCAAATTAGTGATAAACAACAGCTGTGACAGAACAAAACAATGGATGTTACGTGTGGTTAAGTTAAGCCAGAGTCATTGCAAGAGAGAGACATGGCAAGTGAAGAATCCTGAATTAAAACGTGGAACTTGTGCAAGGGGTGATATTGTTTAAAATGGCAGGCAGGCATTTCACACTCACTTTCTAAAATAATAATCGCTTGCTCAAGTCTTTACAAAGAGGACAAAAGTTAGACAGGCAGTCTATCTTAAGTACTGTCAGGAAATGCTCAAGTGTGGGTATAAATTCAGCAGAGCTGCTGGTACTTGAGCTGGCACTTTTATACAATCACTAACAAAGTTATTATTTTCCCTGGACTATTTCTCTTTGTCAACACAAAAGGGGTAAAAAAATAATAATAATGAAGTTTGCAGTGTCTCTGAAAAATGTGCTATCTGATGACTGTGTGGCAGGAAAATATTACAGGGGGAGTACAAATAAACAGCTGCCGGGCAACATCACCTGCAGCAACAGTTTTCTAAACAGACATTTAAAATGTCACCAAACCTAACGTCTGTCTCATTCCAGCCGATCTAATCAAAATCACATTAAAGTGAGAGGAAACTGGGAAACTGCAACCCATAAGTGCTAATGGCTGCAGTCCACTGGCTAGGTTTAAAGAACCCAAAGAAACTTGTAGACTGTTTAGTGTCTACACCGTACTGAAAACAAGAGGTGAGAAAACTCCAATTTGGTCCATTTCTGTAGCTGGAATTCAGCTTGTAGCACCAGAAAGAGTTTCTAATGCCTAAGCATTTGACAGCGTGAAAGCTGCATTGCAGAGCAAAGATGGAATGGCATGTTTACCAACTATGGTAAACGTTTAATTTGACAAGCGTGGCTGACAGCCTGTGATCATTTACATGGGAGACAGAAATTTATAGCATTTGACTTCTGTCATCTAATGTCAGTGATACTGGAAGAGCCAACAGAGTCACTAGTCCATGCATCAGTAGAAGTGCAAACAAAAATGGCATATTTATTTGACACTTAAAGAAATACAGGCACATAGAAACATGGCACATAGAACTTCCCAAAACATTAAATAGAATAACATTGTATTTTAAAGCAAAATAACACAACATAAATTAACATTAAGACCCTACAGACCCTACAATATCAGAGAGTTCAAACATATGCATACAGTGTGAATGACATTACATCCACATGACCAAAAACTTGGCGACAGTAGGGAGGAAGAACTTTCTCCTAATAGGAAAAGACCTCTGGTGGACTCAATTTAAGGGAGTTTCATCCATCTGGCTTGACCAGTTGGTGAAAAGGGTTACACTACATAGGAAAAACTACTAGGGCACTTACAGATTATACCTATAGAAGCCGCTCAGCAATGGAAACCTATGCCACGTATTTGTGCTGATGTTAATGGCAGCTGTGGTGTGGAACTCTGCAGTTATTGAGCCAGCAGTGCATGGGCGAAATATATACAGTATGTGCCTCAGATCTGTAATTTTTATTCAGCTGTTGATCATGGAATCTTGGTAGTATCACGCTTTAATTCAGCAAGCTTTTTAGAATAACCCATTCTTTCACAAATGTTTGTAAAGACATGGCTAGGTGCATGATATTATATACCTGTGACAATGAGACAGAAAACACTAAAAACACATAGACAAAGTCACTCCATACTTTGTCCATGTGGTGTAAGAAAAGACAGAGTAGAGGAGAACAGAAAGAGCACCAACAACAGTCATGGCAAACAAATAACTTGGTTTACAGATGAAGACAAATTATTAGTCCCTTTGAAATTTAAATTTTTAATCAAAGTTTTCCCAGCTGCTTTTTAACAGAGAAACAAATTTTCCTCATAGCATTTCTAAAAATATTGTCTTTAGAGAGCATGATTTTTTTCTATTTGCAAACAACAACAGAATTATTTCAGAAAAGAAAAATTACCAGGGTCAATATTATTAGCCCCCTGAAAAACTGACCTTTTTTGAGCCATAGAAACAAACTACTGGTCTATAATGATTTGCTTTAGCTGTGTAATGGTCAAAGCTTGTAAAATCAAGTTAAAACTGAGGCTTCTCTTCCAATTTATACACAGAACAAAAACATTTGTTCTGTATTTGATTTGAGCTGTCACTTGAGAAAGCATAATGCCAAAAATGAAATAAATTAGTTTAGACTTGAGAAAATTAATTGTTGATGGTCACAAACCAGGAGATGGACATACAAAATTATCACAGCGTTTCTAACTGTCAAGAACTGGAGCGAGAAGTATCATCAAGAAATTCAAAGAGAGCCACACAGTACAGAACAAGCCTGGCAGAGATTAGCAAGTGAAAGATTTCAAAAAGTTTGGAAAGAAAACTACTGAGAGATGTGTCTAAACACCCCAGAACAAGACACTAGTAAATGACTTAGCCAAGTCAGGAACAGTAGTCTCAAGAAGACAATCACTAGAACCCTGCACAGGATGGGCTGTGAGGTTAGAGAGTAAGAAAAACTCAGCTTCTGCAGAAGAGACGCCTTCAAGCCATACTGAAGTATGCTAAGGACAACCTGGAGAAGGATTATACATCCTGGAAGCACATCCTCCAGTAAGATAAGATGAAACTACCCATATGGAAAAGATATATATAAATCTTATAAAGTTTGTATCTGTCTTGTATGAAACTTGTATGAAAAGCATACAAGAGTGAAAACACATATAAGATCCCTTGAAAAATTATATAATGAAACTTGTATGTTTTGGATACTTACTAAAAAAAATATACGAAAGTAATGAGAAAGTGGCCACTTTCATGAGTAAATCATATAAGGTTTTACTATTTCTTTTCCATATGGGTAGAGCTGTTTGGCCAGAGAGACCCAGTAAAACACAGGGTGTGAGTATTATGTTGTGTGGATGCTTCAGTGCGTCTGGAGCTCGTCAAGCACGAAGGAACCACGAAGAAAGAAGATTTCAAAAGAAAATCTCAAGCAGTCAGCAGCAAAACTGAGTCTTGGTCGTCACTTTGTCTTCCAACGCAACAATGACCCAAAACATATGCCACTTTTAGTGAAGAAATACTTCCAGAAGACCAAAGTGAATGTTACAGACTGGCCTGTGCAAAGCCCTGACTTGAATCCCACCGAAAATCAATGGGCTGACTGAAGACCAAGATCCATACCAGAGGACCATCAAATCTGGGAGAGATTGAGAGACTCATCAGAAGAAGAATGGGCTGGGAGATGTGTGCGAGACTTGTTGTAAACCACAACAAATGCCTACAGGCTGTTATCCAGCAAAGGATACACAACTGACTGTTAGCATCAGAGAGCTAATAATGCTGATGTTGGTCATTTTGGTGCTTATGGAATAATTGATTTTCTGTGTCCAAGATCAAACTGGGATGTTTGGAGAAGCTGTGTTAAAAGTTCTTTGCTCTGTTTAAGAACTTGGGAAATAGTTTTTAAAAAAAAAAGCAGAAGAAGAAGAAGAAGGAGGAAGGAAAAGACAAAGAAAAAAAGAAAACAAAACTCATCTGTAAGTCTGGATGAGTTATTACAGTTTTGCATTATTTAATTAGTTTTCATTTAATACGTTTTTGTTTTCAGTGTCATTTCAAATTCCAAAGTAGTTTTAGTTGTTTCCGTTTAGTTTTTATTGTTACAAAATGTTTCATTTTAGTTTAGTTTTTATTACGCTGACT